TCACCCCAGTACAGGTAAAGCCAGGCAACTGGTCATGCAGAGGCTGTCGTGAGAGCGAATTTGGTTAGATGAGTTAGATCTATTGCAACATTATTCTTTCTGCAAACTTTACCTAAATCTACAAAATCTGCTTGTGTGGGCAGCCCGGGTACTGAGACCCTTGCTGCGATGAGTGCTGAGGACCGTGCGGGGTTGCTCAGTCACTACCTTGCACACCCGAAGCCAGCACAACACTCTCTGGTAACTACACTGGCTTTACAATTGTAAGAAGTTGGAAAACCACTGGAAAAAATAAATAAATTACAAAAATAATACCAGAATGAGAAGACAGCAAGCATCATTCACAATCAACAAAAGTGGGTAAAAATCAGTGTTTTTGGCAGGTGTGTCGAGTTGGGCCAACTTCCTGGCCTTCCTCCCTCTTCCCAGGTTCCTCTCGGAGGCCCTGGGTGTGCCCTCTTTGGGGGGAGGAGAGACTGTTTCTCAGAATAATTACTTCTGTTTTGGGGAGCAGGCCAGGCTACCCCTCCTTTTTTTGATTATGTTCATTTAGCCCCTGTGTAGCCGGCATCACTGGCTTTTGATGTGGTCTCCCCGACTGTGCAGCTGCGTGTAGCCCCCAGTGCTCACCAGCACAGTGTCTTCCTCAGTACCCATTTCTCCTGTCCCTCACCCCCTCCCTTCTGCAACCCTCAGTTTGTTTCTCAGGATCCAGAATCTCCCATGGCTCGTCTTCTCTCTGATGTCTCCCCTTCAGGTTTCCTCCCCTCCACTCTGGCCCTCCGTGCTAGTCCTCACGTTCCACATGGGAGTGAGACCGTATGATAGGGTCACCCCTCTTTGCAGCACCCCCTATCCGAACTCTCAGTTACTAGGTAGTTTCAACAAGAGTCTCTCTTTATAGGTTTGTGCTAACCAGCCGGGATGGGCTTACGGTTGAAAAACAACTTATGTGTCTGCCTGTCTCTGTCTCAGACTGAGGTCAGACAGCACCTGGGTCAAACCTTCAAACCTCTTTTAAGTATCTCCCATACGACACACGACGACGTGCTCTTACAGCGAATCGTGCTATCACACGTCAGGCCTGAAAAGGCATCACCTCTCAGAGCGGCCCATCTTGACAGCCAGGAAGGTGTTTGGGACACAGACCCCACATCTGTCAGGGACTCCAATTTCCAGAGGAATTTACCTGCACACATAGTTGTGAGTGTGCCCGCACACAGTCAGACACTTGTGAGTATGTCTGCGCACAGTCAGACCAGTGCACACAGTGTTTCGTATTCTTCCCGTTTCTCACTCTCCTCCTTCCAGTCCAGGTGAGGAGCGGTTTGGATTCTGACAGGCCAGAGATGCCCAGGCACATGCTCCATCTGAGTGTGACCCTTGGTAAATGCAGGGAAGGACTCTCAGTGCTAACCCAAGGTCGACAGAAAGTCCAGAATGCATTTGCAGAATGGAGGCAACACACTCATCTGCACTTACGACAGGATATCTTATTGGCACGTTGTTTCTGTCTCCCTGCTCTGGCATTCTTCCTGACCTCGTGCCAGGAGGCAGCCTGGTTTTGCACTTGGTATGGTCTAAAAACAGCAGTTGTCATACCTGGATTCAAGCCTCTCTTGGCTCTGGACTTCCAAACACACAGCTCCCGAAAGCAGAGAGGATGGCAAGGCTCAGGGTGCAAACCGCAACATGGCCAGAAGGAGGGTGAGGAGCTCCCCAGGCCTGCAACCCCTCCAGGGACTCAAGTTTTGGTGGGATCGCTCACGGGGCTGCAGGGAGGTGGCGGGGCCCAGGGCGTGTGGGTCCGACACACTGACAGAGGCTGAGAGCAGTCTGCCAAAGGCAGGCTCTGGACCTTGGAGCTGCTGGAAACCGAGGGCCCCTGTGAGCTCAGGGAATGAGCAGATGTGATGTGAAGAGCGGAAGCCCCGAGTGTTTGGGGCTGTTCACTCTGAGCAGGGAAGGGACCCCCAGTCAGGATGGGGATTGAATTTCCCCGGCCTGTGGGATGAGCCCTCAGAACACATTAAAAGAGTTTAAAAATGTCAATGAAACATGTGTCTTTCATCCATATCTAGAAATGAAATTTACAAGCATTCTTCATTTGTGACGAGCTGGTTTTGTGTGCGGAACAAGGAGAAGGCGGACGAGGGTGTGGGAGGTCCACAGATGCTCATTCCAGCAGCCCAGGCGGGAGCTGAGAGCGATGACAGCTGTGGGCCACAAAGTAGACGCTTCCACAGCTCCGCGGTTCACGGGTGGGTCTCTCTGTCTCTTGTCGTCAGCTGCTGAATGACGCACCGGGCTCTGAGGCTCTGTGCTGACCAGGGGAGGTTCTGCCTGGTGTGTAGCCAGGAAGTAACTGGTGTGTCTGGTGAGGAGGCTTATGGGTTTATCAAGCTGACGAAGATGTATTTACTGCATGCGCTAGTGAGTGACTTGGTGTGAGAAGGGAGGGGAGATTGTTGAAAGAGTAGGACGAGGTAGGAATAATTACTGCATCGTGTTAGCTCAATTTTTAATTTTTGAGGAAACTCCATACTGTTTCCCAGAATGGTTGTGCTGGTTTGGATTCCCACCAACAGTGTAAGAGGGTTCGTTCCCCTTTCTCTGCATCCTTGCCAACCCATGCTTATGGCAGCATGATTTACAACAGCCGAGATACGGAAGCAGCCTGTGGGCCCACGGATGGGTGACTGGATAAAGAAGACGTGGTGTAGACATACGATGGAATATCACTCACCATGACAAAGAATGGCATCTCGCCATTTGCAACAACATGGATGGAGCCAGCTAGTGCTTTGCTGAGGGAAACAAGTCAGTCCGATAAAGACACTTACCGTACGATTTCACTCCTGTGTGGATTCTAAGAAACGAAACAGATGAGCAAATTAAAAAAGAGAGACAAACAAAAAGCAGACTCTTGAATGTAGAGAACATACTGGTGGTCATCACAGGGGCGGGGGTGTGGGCTGGGGAAATGGGTGTTGGGGATTAAGAATGCACTTGTCACTTGTCGGGACAAGCACGGAGTAATGCGTAGAAGTGTTGAGTCATATCGTGCACCTGAAACTAATGTAACACTGTATGTTAATTATAATGGAATGTTAATAAAAAGGTAAAATGGGTTGAAGAGAAACAGGCTACAATTATGGGGACACCTCGAACAGAAAAATCAGTTGTGAAAAAGCAGCTAGAAATACAGACAGTGGTTAGATCATGCAAGGTCTTTAGGCCAAATCAAGGAGGCTGAAATTCCATTCTAAGATCATCACGAATCCATGAGAATTTTAGTATGAAATAATCATAAGTTCATTTTTTAAAAAAATCCTTTCTTCCAACTCCTGAACAGAGAATGAACTCTCTGGGGACAACAGTGGGTTCAGAAAACAGGCCAAGAGAGGGCTGCCCTCCTCGAGCTCATGGGTGCAGGAGGAGGGCACAGGGGTGATGGCGGTGAAGGGGCGGGGGGTGAGCGAGGTGGGGTCTGTGGGCAGGTTGCAGAGGAGCGCAGTGTCACAGAGAAAAGGGCGGCTCTGATGGGGGAGGGAGGAGGTGCTGACATGTTGACCGGCGTGAGGGGCGCAGGAGGCTGGCCAGCGTTTGCAGGCTTGGATTAAGAGTTAGGCTTGGCACAGGCCATCTTCAATTGTCCTTTGGACACCCAGGGACGTGAGGCCCACTGGAATCTCCACCTGGAGCCGTTGACTTAGAGCTGGTGGAGGACACCGGGATCGCTGGAGAGGGAAGGATGATGGAGGAGCTTCCCTCTATGACAATGTTCATCTGTCTTGGATAATTATGAGCTTATCTCCTTATTCTATTATTTGAAATAGTATTTCTTTCTTGACACAGTAGGATCATTTTCAGTGTAGCTTGGTCTAGTAATTTGCTCACACGATGGTGAGTTTGACCCAGCAGGAGTTTCCTTGACTCTCCTCAGTGCTGAGTATGCGTTTGAGAGAGCCAGGCCGTGCAGGCGGCAAAGCATGTGCAGTCGTAGAACACAGAATTTAAAGCGGCTTATCGTTTCCCTATGGAATGCCTCCCACCAGAATACTTTAAAATTCCTATTGTTGGACATTCTTCTTCTCCTCAGCCCCCTCCAGTATCACAGTGTCTTTGTCACTCTTATCCTCAACGTCTGTACATCTCCTACTGACTTGTCGGTCATCACAACACAGGCAGAACATTTTAAGTAAAGACATTATTTGTCATAAACCTGCCTTTTCCTTTTCACACGTGTTTAGTTGGAATCATGTGCCAATCTCAACGGGAACATCATTTAGCATGGCGCACACAAGGAGAGAAGAGAGAGAATGTAGTCAAAAGCAGCGTTTTAGCAGTAATATGTTGGATCAGTCCCCCAGGCTAACTGTCCCCCTCTCTCCTCCCCCCACCCCTGGGCCTCCATAAGACATGCTCATTTAAGTTTTGTCCCTTCTTTGTTCAAGCCAAAATAAGAAAAAACCAAAATGATTGTGTCGTTAAAGGAATGCAGTGTGAGGGGCACCTGGGTGGCTGAGCTGGTTAAGCGTCTGCTGTAGGTTCAGGTCTTGATTGGAGGACCCTGGAGGGAGCCCTGCATCAGGAGCCCTGCTCAGTGGGGAGTCTGCTTCTCACTCTCCCTCTGCTCTCCCCCCGCCATGCTTGTGCGTGCACTCTTTCTCTCTCCCAAATAAATAAATATAATCTTAAAAAAAGAAGAAGAATGCAATGTAAAGCCAGTGCATGGGAAAATGTAAGAATTGGTGAGTTTGTGCACTGAGACGATAGATGTCATGTCAGCTTGAGGAGAACAGAGAACATGTGCCACTTTATGGTATGAGAACAAGAGAAAGGCTCAAAGTACAGAAGGATTAGAGCCAGTACACAGATTACACAGGTAGCCACCAGGCCATAGGGATTTGGAAACTGAAGCAGACACCACATCCGTAGTATAGACGGAAAAGCGAATGCATTTGTCAAATGACTATTCTACTCCCTGTCTCCTGCAGGAACCACAGTCCCAGCCCTTCTGAACAGCACCTCCCACCAGCTCTATCTGCATTTCCAGTCCGATATCAGTGTAGCAGCTGCCGGCTTTCACCTGGAGTACAAAAGTAAGGTCAACTCTTTCTGCGTCCAACTTCCCTTGTTTTACTGAGCGCTTTTCGGAACAAAATGGAAGTCCACGCCCTTACTGCGTAGGAGAATAGTGTTGTTCCAAAACTACAAGTTGCATGAACGTGCATCGTTTAAAATCTTTCTCAGTGCAATATATATTGTAAAAAGCAAAGGAATGAGGACATGCAGATGTTAGTATCTAGAGTAATTGTTGAAAAGCACAAAGCGACACTGTGTGATTCCTGATTTTTCTTTGTGAGTGATAGCAGATGTTCATATTAATATCCCGAAACCTAGAAAATCATAATTTCCCACAGATTATGGTCATAAGGCCTTTCCCCTTATAGCCTCCAAGGCTGTTAGCAGAGGCCCAGCACGGAACCACCACCGAGCCTGCTGCTTTGTGTATTATTCATTTTAATTGGAAGAAGGTATTGCGAAGGAGACGCTAACCTTTTAAAAATGAATGTGCAGATGAGTTAGGAGTCTGATAAATGGGTTGACAAAAGTCAGATTCGCAACTCTTCTTTGGCGTTTGATGATGCAGGTAAACCTTGTAAAAATGAAATAAGAATTTCCAATGAGAGTCAGGTTTATTTTAGGACATGTTTTCAAGCACTGAAAATGCTTAATGTTGATATTCATCATCTTTAATAAGCAGTTGCAAATAAGCAAATACATGGATAAGTTTTAATAAGTGATCTTTTGAATTGAGATAAACAGTTTGTTGAGATGTAAATGCATGCATGTTTTTGAAAGGCCAGATTTCCAGCTGATGATAAATATTCTGAACCAGACACAAACCACGGGGCTGTTTCCCATTTCAGTTAAATTCCCCTACTTATTACAGGCATTTGTATGCAAGTTTATTCCAATTTATTTGAATAGGACTACTTTGGTGACAGTGTAAAATGATGGTGTGGATGTTATTTATGTAGGAAATGTCTGGGAAAAAAATCTGCTACTTTGATACATTTTGTGAACATCTGTAGATAGGAAACTATCAGCCTTATTTATGATAGTGTTAATAAATTCACTAATATTTTTAGCAACGTTAGAACTCAGGAATGTTCTTCTGTCTTTCTCTCAAACTCATCTTGTGGATTTGGGCTTTTTACTCACTTCTTATAAAAAGAGGTGCTCATAAAATAATTCATCCTCAGTTGCTATTATGTACAATTACAACAGCAACAATATAATTATCTACTTTCCACTTTATTCCTAACCAGTATACTTCATTAAAAGAGAAAGACAGATATTTCCCACCAAATCCATTTTGCTTAAATATCCAAGGCCTTTTTCAAATACTTACCGTATTTATTTTTTGGTTGCCCAGACTAATGCTACATTTTCATTTGCTAACCTTTGTTCTGAGGGATTGTTTTCTTGTGCTAACACCATTCTGACCACCTGCCGTCCCCCCATCCCCCGGGTCATTTGTGTCCTCCCAACTTCTTGTATTATTTATAGGCGCTCATTTCCTTCTGATTCCTTGGGCCAGAGTTGAAAATATGTGTCATTTTAAGGGTTTATAGAATTAATCTCATTGAGGCCAACCTTGAAGAGTACAAGGACTGTTGAATTAAGCCGCCAAAAGATTGTTGCATATTTTAATCGGTTGATGTATTTCCACCTACTTAAAATATATACTGTCGATCTGCAAGCCTCTAAATTCAGATTTGTCACTAAAATTGATATTCATGAAATTATAAGAAAAACAATGAAAACACACACTCTATGTGGGTCCTGCTCTGAACATGTTACAGCTACTTATTCACTTGTCCTCCAAAAGCCCTGGATTGAGGGATGCCCAGCACTTAAAGAAGGAAGGACATGGCCCATAGTCGCACTGCTAGTAACCCACGGAACGTGAGACACTTCGTCACAAAGGCCCTTGACTGAACCCTGTGCGAGGATCCCAATTGTCCCGTCATAAAGACAGCATGCACTGCTGTTTTACAAACGACGACCCCAAGGATCATGAGCAGGTCGATGATCCAAGGAAGGTAGAGGAGCTTCTGAATCAGTTTGTCTTTCCCTAAAACCAGAGCTACCATGGCTGATCCACACCTGCTTCTGAATGAGGACTTTGAAGTAAGCACGAGGTCCGGGTAATTATCACAATTCGTTGTTCTAGATGGGCACTGACGGGAACGTCCCAAACAGAAAACAAGCATTATTATTTGAAGGGATGAATTATCAAATTTTACCAGTCACAGAAGCAATTCCAAGAAGGCCTGATCCCATATGTATGACCTGGATTCTCTTGCGTGATCTGAGTAACACTTGAACGATCAGCATCATTGAGTTCTTCCTGCGTTTGCCAGGTCAGCGTCCTTCTGACCTGGATGGGAATGTTGACACAGTTCCACAGTAGGACACAGGTGTCACCCTTGCTCTGGGTTCTTTTCTTCAGAAAAACTACCAAAACAGAACCAAACAAATAGATTTCATGAAACTTTAAAGATGTTTATAGACAATAGTGATACTGGTGGATCCTGAAAATAAGAAAATCTGTGCTAAGGATATGTAGCATATGAACTCGCTCCTAAGGAACAATATGGCGGCAGCTGTCCTTAAACTCAACACGAAAGAGCATAGAATGTTTTATATATAGGAATATCTCTTCTGCATGAGTGTGTGTGTGTGTGTACAATGTATATCAGTATGTCAGTAACCAGGGTTTATTGATTTCAGTGGGATTTGGTGGCAGAAGAGATGATAAGATCGAAGCCATAAGCCATATTGGAACCTTTCTCTGTCTTATATTTTGTTGATTCTCCCCTCTTTTCCTGCCAGCTTTTGGTTTAACTGAATATTTTTATTGCTTCAATTTATCTCCACTATGGGTTGATTAGATAAAACTTAAAAAATGTAATGATCTGCCTAGAGTTTAAAAGATACATCTTTATTATTTTAGCACAGCTTACCTTCAAGTGATATTATGCCCTTTCATGTAAAAGAGACTTACAAGGGTGTATTTCTAATATCTGCTTTCCTTCCATTATGTTATTCATTGCCTTACATTTTATTTTTACAGGCTATAAAGCCCACAAAATATTTTTACTACATTTGGTTTTTACGTTTCTACTACTTTACTACAACAGTGATCTTTTAGAGTAAATAGAAAATAAGAAAAATAAATATCTCATGTTTACCTTTGCTTTTAGCATCTCTGGAGCTCGTTATGTAACTGGGTCAACCCAAATTTCTGTCCAAGGACCGCTCCTTCATCTTTCTTGTAGTGTGGGTCTACTGACGATGAATTCTCCCAGCTTTTGCCTTTTTTTTTTTTAAGTCATTATTTCATCTTCATTTTTGAAAGATACTTTCCAAGTATAGAAGTCTGGGTTGAAAGTTTCTTGTTTTCAGTGTGTTAGATGTCATTCCCTTGTCTTCTCATCTCTTAGTTGATGATGAGAAGTAACTTCTTACTTCCTGCATCTGTAGACATGCGTGTGTTCTTTCTCTCTGGCTTGCTGCAACATTTTATCTTTTATGTTCTATTTTCATCACGTTAATTACTATGTGTCTAGGGCAGAGCGTAAGCGCCCTCTCAATATTCGTCCTGACGTTCTTGATGTACTTGATCTATGCTCTGACATCTTCTGTTGGTCACGAACAAATCTCAGCCACATTGTAATCCCAAATATTGCCGTCAGCCCGTCTCTTTCAGCTTCTGCTGGTACTCCATTACATGTGCGTTAGGCTGTCAGACATTCTTTCACACTTCTTGGCGCTCACTTCTGCTTTATTCACTATTTTCTCCTTGTGTCCTGGTTTGTGTGATTGCTCTTAACCTTTCTTCAGATTCACTAAGTCCTTCCCAGCTGTGTCACATCTACTAACGAGTCCATTAGATGCATTCTTCATCTCTGATATTGTGGGTACTCCCCGACTAAAATTTTCACTTGACTTTTTCTATCCTTATAGTCTCTCTACAATCATCACTCCATCTCTTCATGCATGCCTCCTGCCTCCCTAGATTTTTTAACATATTTCTCATACTTATTTTAATATTCCCATTTAATATCTCCTTTCGGGGCCCCTGGGTGTCTCAGTTGGTTAAGCATCTGTCTTCGGCTCAGGTCATGATCCCAGGGTCCTGGGATCGAGCCCCACATAGGACTCCCTGCTCAGGGGGAGCCTGCTTTTCCTCTCCCACTCTCCTGCTTGTGTTCCTGCTCTCGCTGTTTCTCTCTCTGTCAAATAAATAAATAAAATCTTTAAAAATAAATATCTCCATTCTGGGAGTATGTTCTGCATCTGGCTTTTTTGCTTTATTTCTGGACAAGGGTTTGCTTTTTCTTGCCTCTTTTGTGCGTCTCAAAATGCTTTATTAAGCATGGACACCTTGAGTAGAACGGTGGAGAACGCTTTTCATAATATGTATGCCTGGGAATGGGCACACCACTGCTGGTAAGCTACCGAGTCCCTTTGGGCCCCAGGTGAACTAGTTTGAGTCCTCTTACTCTGCTTGCTTTTGGTTCCCTTCAAGTTCCCCAGATGGTGAGCCACCAGGCACCATGTGCTGAGTTCCAGTGATTTTCTCAGCGTTAGTCCTCCACCTTGGTTTCCGGTCATCTCTAAACAGATTTTCAGAAGATGTGGTCTTCCTCCAAACTCTCTCCCTCCCCAGTAGTAGACTGCCATAACCTGTCACTCCGTGCTGGGTGCATGCCAGCCTCAGGGCTCTGCTGCCGTTCTCTTCCAGGCAGTGCCAGACCCCAGGAGTCTACGTTTAGAGATGACATATGCTCAGCATCCCCAGCCTCCCTCCCAAGGCCTCCAGTTCTACCTGTTGTCAGTCTTCCAAGGGGAACTTCCTGCTTGTCCCCAGGGCTAGGGGACCATAATCTTGGAATCCATAGAGGACATTAAGCCCATGCTGGTTCTCTGGCCACACCCTGGACACAGATCTTTTCCATCCACCCTTCTCTGGCTACAGTGCCTGTCTCATTGGCTGCAAGTGATGGGCTCAGGGCAGCATGTGATG